ATTCCTGCCCCAGTCCCTAGAGCACACATCCCCTATACTGGAAAAGCATCAGAGACACCAATGCGGACAGGATTAAGCAAAGCTACGTGTGTGCATTTGCCTGCCTGTCCATCTCCTTTGCTCTGCATCCAGCCACCTAACAACTTACGCACCACTGGCACACTTCAGGCAATTTGGAGAGCAGGAGGAGGGCGTCGCAGCCCCTGTGTGCTGCTGGGGTGTGCAGTAGGCTGGGGAGAAAAGCAGGGTGCTGGCTGGCTCCTGGTGAAACAATGGCCTTGGTGGAGAATAGTGGAGCAGCCCCAGAAGGATGCAATGTTTTGGGACTCAGTTGCAAACATGAACACCAAATCCTCAAGAAGGCGAAAGACTCCGGGCTGCCTGGGCCGTGCCACTCACCACGCTGCTCTGCTGCCGAGACCTGCCTGCAGTCCATGCCAGGCTGAAGCGAGGAAACAGGAATGCAGTGAGTCAAAAGCACTTTTCCTATTTGTTTGTTTTTCCAGCTCTCTGCTCTGGCAAAATCTAGCTCAGAAGTAGATTTGTGTTTCTGCTGCAACAGCAGAGGTGATTGCCAAATTTACTGGCACACTGTAGCCTCGCAGGAGCAAGTTACAGAGCTCTTTGGGACACGCACCAAAATACAGTATAGGCTTTTGGATCTTTTCTGTATCTGAGTGGGATGGGTTGCCACCAAGGTGACTTGGCCTCTGAGAAATTATTTTTAACTCTTAGGTTTGATGTAGCGGGCTGGCATCTGCCAGCACTGTCAGGGTCACATCCAGAGTGCCCACAGGGCACCTGCATCCCTGAAAAAATAAAGCTAACAGCAATACTGAACACGTACACTCCTGCTTGGACAAAGATGCTCCAGGGACAACGTGGTGCACTAACATTTTTGCTTCCTGCTACATTGGCTCACATTGGTTATTCCTCTCTTGCCCTGTCAGTCTGGTAATTGCTGCTTCCCAAAGCCCCAACAGAAGCAGCTCCCTAAGGAGGCAGTGCCTGAAGTCACACCACTGAGAATAAAGCTGATGCACATTTCAGAACAAGCCTCATGGCTCCTGAGCCAGCCTCTAGCCAAGGCTTGGCTACTGAAGGGAGCCACAACCTGCTTAACGTGTTGGCCATTTGTTATATCTGTCCCAGTTCTACCACTGGCAATAGGAGCAGTTTGGAGATGGAGATGCTTCAACCATGTCTTAGTTCCTTGTTAACTCTTGCTGTGCCCCTCTTAACACTATGTGCAGGGTGGGATTAGCAGGGTTGATTTATGACAGTCAACAAGAAAAAAAGAAAACAGCTCATAAAGGAAATGTAATAGAATTAAAACTTGGGTGTGGCTGTTGCTGTGAAAGTGAAGCCCTGTGTCATGTCACTCAATGCCAGGGGATCTTTACTAGCACGGAGCTTTGTTTTTGTTTTGACGCTGAAGTGGGCTCAAGCCAGGTTTGGTTGCCCCTTGCACAAGGCTGCTGCTAGGAGTTGTGGGGGGACTGGAGGACCCTGGTCTGTGCCACAGGCACGCCTTCAGCAACGGGATATCTGTAATGTTTCAGGAAGAAGTACAGATGAAATGGATGCCTTTGCTAAGGAGAAGATGAATCAGTGCACTTCACTGGCAGGGATGTGGCAGCGCAGCGTGCAGAGCTGGTGGCAGCGAAAGCACCGAGGTGTGGGGAGCAGCAGCAGCTAGCAGGGGTCACGGTAGCCCAGCAAGGACCCCAATGCCTCATGCAGAGGGTAGGAGTATGGAAAACACCTTGTACAAGCAAAGAACCACCAATGGAGGCCAGCAGAAAGCCTGAGGCTGAGCCCCTTCGGGCTGTAAATGCCTTACTAAAAGCAGCTGCTGAAAATTTCCCTCCAGCCAAAAGCTCATCCCTGAAACCTCACCTGTGAGTATTTACAAATTCCTGAATCCACAGGCTGTAATATGTATAGCTCACTATGACCAGTGGCTACAGTCTAGTAAAACCTGGGTATGTCCAGCCTGCAAGACTTTTTGAGGCATGAATTTTAAGCAAATGAACCTTACCAGTATTGCTGTGGAAGCTTATGCCCATGTGGACAAGCCAGTCTTCAGCAACTCCCATGGATGATGACTAATCCCCATTGATTCCAACCTGGGGCGTGATAAGCTTATGAAAGATGGTGTATTTGGACCTTTTGTATGTCCACTTTATTTCCCAGGATCTAGACTGACAGCCCAAAACACAGCAGCTTTGATTAGCCTTGGAGACGCTGTGGCAAGCCCTGCAAGCAGCCAGCCTGGCTGAAGACCCTGTTCTCCATCCCACCATGCAGCTGCCTCCCTCTTGCCGTCTCCCCACCCTGCTGTTTGGTCTCTGTCCCAGTGATGGGCAGTTTGGGTGGCACCATCCCTGCCAGCTGCTGCACCTGAGGCTGACCCGTCCCTGCGCAAGGGTCTCCCCACCTCAGAAGCACTGGTCATGGGTGAGAGCAGAGCCTGCACTGGTTTGTCACCTTTGCATTACAGCTGCTGTCAGCCTGTGGGCTGCAGGGACTTGGCCAGGGGAAAGATGTGAGCAGAGAAAGGAGATGGAGTCTGTGCTGAGCACCAATCGTGTCTCCTGGCTAAACTTGGGCAAAGCCAAGTTGAGCACTCCCAGGCAGCTGAACATCTTCCCATGAAAACCTGTCATTAAAAAAAGAGTTTGCTTCCTCCTGTCCACACCCTTGCCCAGCCTGGAGGGAAAAAGAACAAAACAGCTCTAATAGTGCTGGCAGTGAGCTAAAAATGGGCTAGTC